ATCTGGTGTAACGACCAAATTTTCTAGCGTGTCTTGCAGGGGCCCCACATTACCTGGTACCTTTTTTGCCCCCTATGTATTTAAAAAAGGACTTCTTGTTGTCCTTGATCTAGGAAGCTCGTCCCAGTCCCATCTCCGCCTTGGCCTTCCTGACCGCCCCCCTGCAACCACAATATAGTCCTCCCTGGGGATGGCCCCTCCCTGCAATTGGGTGTGCGCCTCCCTTTTAGCTAGATGTTCCCGGATGCTTTTGGTGAGCCACGGGGGCTTTTGCGCCCTCCTGCCCCCTTTGATCTGTGTTGGGATTACCTCCCTTTGGGCTTGGAGGATCATCTCCTTAAGGAGCGACCTCTCTTCTTGGACACCTGGCTCCCCTCCCCTCCCAGACCTCAGTGCTCCCCTGACTATTCTCCTTAGCTCATTGAAATCCGCCCTCCTCAAATCTAGGGCTGCTGCCTTGCTGCAGGCCTTTGCCACCTTGCGCTGGTGGTGAATCCCAGCAGGAGATGATCACTGTCACCCAGGCGGTCGAGCACCCGCAGCCCCCTCACCAGGTCGTCTCCTGTGGCCAGCACCAGGTCCAACAAGGCGTCTCCCCTGGTGGGGCTGTGCACCTCCTGGGTTCGATGGAGGTCCTGCATTCTGGCTAGGAACTTACGTGAGCGGTCAGACCTGGCTGACTGCTCTTCCCAGCAGATGTCTGGAAAGTTCAGGTCCCCCATGGTGACCAAGTCCTTTGACTTCGCTACCTCCGTGAGCCGACTTAAGAATTCCTTAAGTCACTTGAGACCACCTGCTGCAGAGCGGGTACCAGGGCTTCCCCACGCTCATTCACAGACGGAGGGCAGGGCAGAGCAGCACCGTACAGACTAACTGGGTCAGAGGAGCTCACAGTTAGTCCTTTTCTTTGTGCCATGTTACACCCAATTCAGCACGGTGACCAGTTTTCATGACCAAAAAAACCTAGGCAATACCAAGCGACCAAAGGAACCAGGACATACAGACACAGGTGACACAAGTCACTAAGGTCAAGGTCTCACCGCCTGCAGGGAGAGCGAGGAAATAGCACAACTGTCCATTTCTAGGTCGAAGCGGATCATGCCTGCACGCGTACATGGCGCGGTTTTACTGATTCAGGATTTTTTGCAAAAAAGAGCCCCAAAAGAAGCTAGTTTAGCTATTCAAAATCCCTCCATCCTCTCCATACTTCGTTACAAGGAAGACAGAATCAACGCGCTCCTCCTTTTTCTGCCTTTCTCCGCCTGATGCTGAGGGGAAGGAAACCGCCTCCAAGTTTTCCCACGCGTTTCAAGGGAGAATTGTCAGAACCAAGCACAGAAACACCCTGAGCATCGCTTTAAAAACCACAGACGGGATGCGTTCAGTCTGGGTGGCAGGGCACTGGAAAGACAAACGTGCTGGAAGCCAAAAGCCCTGGTCCCACTCAACATCATGTGTAGTGCTGCCCATAAGTCAGATCGGAAACCATGCCAGATCTTCTCACGTGTCATTAGGAAACCACGAGTGCCGAATACAGGCACGTCTCTCATTAAGGAGCTTTCCTCACTCAACTCCTTTCTTCTCAGCTCCGCAGACACGCCGCGGGTGCCTACCTACAGGACAGCATCCGCGGTGCTCTTATCCCAGGACACGACACGGGCGCCTGCCGACACACCGATGGGGCCTGGCCGCACGCTTGAAAAGCCCGACGCGCGCTCGTGGCTCTTAGACAGACAGCGCTGCGCGTGGGGCACTGCTCTCCTCAGCTGGGGCCGAGCAGTTCCAGCTGGCGAGAGGGAGCAGCGACTCTGCGGCCAAAGCCCAAGCGTGCATCGGTGGAGACTTGGGCACCAATAAGCCTCCTGGCCGGTCCTGCCCCAGCCATCCAGGGCCACCCCGGCCGCTACCTCTGCGCCTCTCCCTCCTCGTTTCGGCCCACTGCCGACTGCACGGCTCCCACACCCCCTTGGCAGACCCCCGCCCGTCACTCACCCGCGCCCCAGGGCTGACTCAGCCTCCTGCCCAAAGCCGGACTGAGCCGGGAAGGGCAGAGGCGCCAGCAGGGCCATCCTATCGGGGCTTCCCAGCCGAGGGCTGCCTCCCCCTCGGGGCAGGACAGCAGCGCCCCGGGCCGGGCACGGCGCTGCACTCACCGGGCCGGAGCTGCAGGCCGGGCCCCGCCGCCAGCAGCAGGAGCAGGAGCAGGAGCCGGGCCCAGGCCATCCCAACTGCGCTCG